AGTATAAAAGTAATATGCACTTTCCAATAAGCATCAGTCATGGATGATTCACTCACGTTAACATTGTCTGGACAAACGTCCATTCTAGAAGCGTTTTATTTTCCGCCAATTGAATTATCATCATCTAAAAAATATACCCTAGGACTTGTGGAATTGTTAACCTTCAATTCCATTCCAAATATTGATAACGGCAATAATAAATTTTATTATACACTCAATGGTGAAGATAAAAGTATTAAAATACCCACAGGAAGCTATGAAATTGAAGACATTGAAAATTATTTGAAGAAAGCTGATACTCAATTATCAATTTCTATTAAGCCCAATAATAATGAACTACACAGTGAAGTTTACAGTGAAAATGCAACAATAAATTTCAAACCGCATGATTCTATTGGTAGTTTGTTGGGCTTTAGTCCACGAGTTATTTTTCCAAAATTGACTCACACATCAGATTTACCAGTATCTATCTTGAAAATTAATGCATTAAGGATTGAATGTAATATTACTACAGGAGCATACATGAATAATCAGTTGGTACATACGATTCACGAATTTTTCCCATCAGTTCCACCAGGATATAAGATCATTGAAGTTCCATCAAACGTCATTTATCTTCCAATCACCGTACAGACAATACATAATTTACAACTGCGCATTGTTGATCAAGACGGTCAATTGGTTAATTTACGTGGTGAAACTGTAACAATACGTTTACATTTGAAATCAGTCACGTAATGGGGATTGTTTATAAACCAATAGTAGGGGGAAGCTATAAAACTAACATATCATGCCTGAATCCCATCAGTCATCGAAGAAAATTCAAACGATTAACTTATCAAAATCGATTATTCCTACAAAGTCTGGGACTAAAAATACGCAAAAGTGCAACAAAATTAAAGTGGAAGTGTGTTGTCTTGCATGTCTTTTACCATGGAAGAAGAAAAATTAGCAATAAGCAAAGGTGTCATATTTGATGAGTCTATTGCACACATTGAGGTGCATGCTCATCAACCATATGCATCTACAACATATAATAATAATGATGAGATACATATCTCAGTTCAACATCAAGATTTATGTCTGTTGCCAAGCAAAAGTTCCCTTCATATTATGGGGAAATTTACAAAATCTAACGGAAATGCAGTAGCAGCAACATCAAGATTCGTTAATATGGCCGTATGCTATTTATTTGAAGAAATACGATATGAATTGAATGGTGTTGAGATTGATCGAAATAAAAATGTTGGTCTTACAAGTCTCATGAAGGGATATCTATCTCTTCATCCAGGTCAAAAAAATTATTTAGATAATGCAGGTTGGGTAACTGATAATGAAAGATTATTTAATGATAATGGATACTTTGATGTTTCGATACCGTTACATATGCTATTGGGATTTGCTGAAGATTATCATCGCATAATTGTCAATGCCAAACATGAATTAATACTTACTCGTTCAAATACCGATCTTAATGCAATTGTACAAGCTACAGCGGAACCTGAAGAGACGATCACGCTTATAAAAATTGAATGGATCATTCCTTATATCACTGTTGCAGACATGAAAAAGGTAGAATTGTTAAGTTACATTGCAAAAGACCCACCGATTCCAGTGAGTTTCAGATCATGGGAATTATATGAATATCCAATGCTGCCGAACACAACCAAACACGTATGGGTCGTAAAAACATCAACTCAATTGGAAAAGCCCCGCTATGTTATATTAGGATTTCAAACTGCACGCAAAAATGATGCTACAAAAGATGCAAGTCATTTCGATCATTGTGATTTAAGGGATGTAAAACTTTTCCTCAATTCACGATGCTATCCATATGGCAACATGAATCTTGACATAAGTCACAATCAATTTGCCTTATTATATGATATGTATAGAGATTTCCAAACATCATATTATGATAAAGAAGCAGAACCTCTACTCACGAAAAAAAAATTTATAGATATAGCACCACTCGTTGTAATTGATTGTTCTAAACAAAATGAATCCTTAAAATCAGGACCAGTTGATGTTCGACTGGAATTTGAATCATCAAAAGCTTTTCCTGCTAACACATCAGCCTATTGTTTGATCTTACATGATCGAATAATAGAGTATAAACCTTTAAGTGCGCAAATGAGAAAACTAACATAAAATATTGTAAAAAATATACATATTATATAATTATGATTATATTATTCATGTATTAATCAAATTTTTTTTTTTGCTATAAATAAATTGTGTACACGAAAAAGATTACTGTTTTCATTCATTTATTTCCAAAAAAAAATCTGATAGTTGGTAGCGCAAATTTTGAGAGAATATCAATACATTGACAAAACTTTGAAAAAAAATCAGTTATTTTTGCTGATAGTGAAATTTTAATCGCGGTTGGTAAAAAATCGGTATTATCATTGAAGATAATTTATCGAGGTTGGTAAAAAAAAAAATCGCTGCCAATAATTTATCAGTGTCGATAACTTATCGCAGTCGGTAACTTATCGTCAAAGTTATCGCGGTCGGTAATTAGTGCGGATCAGAACCCACTTTTTTGACTTGGCCGGTATTGCAGAGTGATCCAGAACCGGCCCTGCTTATCTACTTACCTATAGATACGAATATGAAAATTAGATATTCTATGAAGATTGTCGTTATCGAGGTCAAAAATTTATCTGTAGTGCCAGCTTTCACATTGTCAGGTGCACAATGTATTTCTTCTGGTAGAAGGAAGAAGGATGACTTCATAAAGAACCCATAATCATTCGAGGCAGACCATTGGGATCCATATACCAGCAATTCGGGAGCTCATAAAACACGTGCATAAGTATAAGTTGATGCCCCTGGACGTTGATTCCGACGTTTTTATCGAGTTAATAATTACCTTATTGAAAATAAATAACTATTTTCTTGAAGAATACTGATTATTACTTTTCTTATTTGCTTTCCAAATGTTGCAAGAGCAATGAAACCTGTACCAGCTTAACAAACAGTCAACCGTGAACGTCGTCGACGCCGACTACCAATTCCTACTTGTTGTACTGAACTTCTTAATTTCCTCGAAAGTTGAAAAGATGGAAATAATATTCATAAAAGATCATTTAGTAATGCAGACGGATGTATTGGAATAGCTTTCTACGATCCTCAAATGCTAAAGTATCCCGAAAAAGGGTACATTTAGATGGAACATCTAAGGTGAGTTGATGTTTATATTTGCATACAAATGTTTTTTTTCGAATGTCTCTAAGTCCTCTTGATAAAAACTTGATATTTCATATAATTGAAGAGCCTCTTATTTCTCTAAATGTGCACAATTTAGTAATTAATTAAGTCAACGCTTTTTGCTCACAGATTTTTCAGCCTACAAAAATTAATTGTGTGAATATAAAATTTACTTTTTTATTTCGTTATTCCATGGAGTTATTAATATCCCTGATGAAACAAACCGATAAAAACTTATAATTTGCGATAGATTCTAATACACAATTTATAAGAATGAATAAGAACTTATTAGGTCTATAAGAAGACCAAAAATGGTCTTATAACCATTCAATAAGAATTAATCAGAGTTTATAAGAGTAAAAAAAACTTGTGGTTTATTTTATAAGTATATGTACGGATGAATAATAACAATTTGATAAATTTCAATAAGAAATTATTAGTAAATAATATTTTTTAATCACTGAATAAATTTCATAAGAATGTATCAAAAGGATATCACAAGATGCAATAAAAATCTATTGGTAAAAGTGATGACTTTTCCTTCTATACAGTGTTATAAGATTTTGCAAGGAGGAATACTATAAGACTTTATAAAAAGCAATAAGCAAACAATATTTCTCAATTTCTGAATTGATTCATAAGAAACTACTAGACCATTTCGAATAAGATCCTATAAGAATTGATAAATAAGAGATGTCGTTCGATTCTTCGTCTGATTCTATTTCAATGAAGGACATTAGACTTTTCGATAGACATAACTGAATGGGATTGTGCTGATTCTAAAAAATAGTTAGCGATTTAATAGAAAAAAAAGAGTTCCATAGGATATGAGAGTAGAGATTTGAACAAGAAATCGATCGATTCAAGAAGATAATCCGACTTAGAACATTTATCTTCATTTCTAAATGTCGCAAAAGAATTCAGCCTTATTTAATAGGTTAAACTCCTCCAACATCCAATAGTAAATAACTTTTCTTTCGTTCTGAGTATTGTATCGACTGAAAAGCATAATCCTAGTAGAGACTATCATGATGAGAAAATATTTTCTAAGTCACATTTTTATGCTCGATGAATTCATAATCGTTCGTATAAGAAACGATCCTAGAGTTTCTTATGAAACAAGTCGATATATTGATGAAAATTATTTACCAATAACTTCTTATTTAATCTGATGACATTCATTCTGATAGAATCATATAGAACCAAACAGAACATCGAACGGTGTCACTTACTCACAAATTCTGATAGGATCTTATGACAAACTCAAATAGATTAGGCGGAAGTCATGTTTCCATGTTTTAGAATAGCGCAATCAACAGCGTACTAGACTGTAAAGCCGAGGATGCCAGGATCGAATCTCTCACCATCTGCATGATATTTTCGGACAAAATTACTAATAAATTTCATATCAGATGTATATGTAAACAACAAATCCGTATAAACAAAAAACTTCTAGAGCGAATTAAAATTTCCTTTTTTAAACTATTCTTTTTGTGGTAAGAAGATAAATTCGGATGAAAAACGATACCAAAACACGCTTATCGATCCTTGTTACCTAAGGGCACGTTCGACCATGGTCGATGAACTAATCGGCCGATTAATGTGTGTTACCAATTTTAAAAAAATGAAACAAGTAATGAGGGAAATGCACCGTTACACCATCTATTCAGCAACATTGAACTGTTACTTATGCGAGAATACCGATACAATAGCTTTGCAACAATAGATATAACTATACTATACAATAGATATTATTATTTTTGTTCCTTTAAAATCATTTTTTTTATAAACTAACAATACAAAAATTATTTATTTTTCATTAATGTAATGTACAATTATTAATCAGGATTTGAACTTTTCGTCAGACACCAACTTTTACAGTAGAAGAAAAAATGAATAAATTGCACTGGTAGAAAATCGTAAAAACGTAATAGAAAATAAAAGAACTGATGCTGTCTTCAATAATGAAAAGTGTAAAACTTGGAAGGATCTCACAGCAGAATTCAACATCGGAAAAAGTGTACAATGGTTGAATATAAAAGCACACACCAAGAAGAAGTACGCAGAATTAAAAAAACAAACAAGAAAGACAGGTAAAAAATGATAACATAATTTTAGGTTGCTTATTAATTGATAAATTTGATAACTAATGTAATGTTATAATTGTTGTAGGTGGTGGTTCAGTCGATGTTTTATGTAAACTCAATCAGGTCGATGAAGCTTGTCTCAGAATGATTTGAAATTCTATTGATGGGTTGGAGAATCCATACGATTTTGATGCTGGACAAATAGAAGAAAATGCTGACCCTAATCGGCAAGATGTTTTCCAAGTACGTATATTATGTTATTTAGAAAGTAATAATTATTTTATATTCAACATATTTTACAGTACTTAGTATCGAATTAAAATATCGATAAATGGAACACGTGGTCCTCAAAGAAATTGAAAAAACCACTGAGTCAACTGTTGAATGATGTTGTTACCAGTACTTCAAAAATAGTAAGGTCAATGCTAAGTACGTCAAAAATGGGAAATTTCAAGCTAAGTACTTTAAAAGATGTCAAATTAAATACATCAGTCGATCAAAAAAACAATCCTCTACTTCCGAAGATGGAATTAGTCGATTTAATGAAAAAAACTATTGAAAAACGAAATGCTATAGAAATGGAAATATATAAGACAGAGTTGCAAAAGAAAAAACTCGAATTAGAAATATTAAAAAAAAAGCATTTGAAGGAAAGTCTTCACAACTGAATTCTGGTCAAATACTTTTTCATGATTGGATTTTTTTTAAACAAAATGTTTCTTTAAAAAAGTAATACGTTTCTAACACAATTTGAGAATGTTTTATGTATATTATCTCAATAAACTTAATACTGATAATTATTTAATTTATTCATAGCTCCTGTTTTAATTTTCTTTAATCATGAAGAGAATCATTTAAGGAAATGAAAATTGTGTATGATTTATTCACAGTAAAACATACTTACTGAAGCAATGAACGATATTTAAAACACAGCATTATTATCTATTTCAATTCATAAAATAGCTTTCAACTGTCAACCATCTCTCCAGGCCTTAGGTGATTTATTTCACCTTATTTATAAAACAAAAATTGAATTATAATTATACGAGATAGATTTATAACTAGTTTTAATCATTTTAAAAATATCTTCTACAATGTCAAGTTCATAGATAAAGCATAACAAAGATTGTATCAGAAGAGCCAAAATTTAAGATGCAATTGACACAATAGAACATCTAAACATACTTGACTATTCAAATGTTGAAATAGTAAATTATGTTGTTGATAGATCTATTTGAACTTAATTTCTCTCTAAGAGTACTAAAATAGAAGAAAAGATGAATTTTATTACTGCAATATCTATAACTGACGAAAAGTTTAGTTCGTAGGAACTATTAAAAAAATCTGTTTTTATTGATACCCTTCTTGATTTAAGTTCTGATGATATGCTAAAATTATCTGTTAAATTAATTTCATTTGACTATTACTGGCCAAAATCAATAGAAAAAGTATTTTATTCGTATGATAAAAAGGTAATCATGCATATCATTTTGAAAAAACATTTGTTGATCTACATCACATTGTACAAAAATTTTTATCCTTAGTTTTATGGTTCATGTGTATTGGATGAAGATATTAACTTATTCTATTTATTAAAAGAGACAATTAAAAACAATAAAAAAACAAAAACATAATGCCATACGATGAATCCACAATATTTTTTTCGTATATATTGATACTTTTTTTTACATCTTTAAGAAATCTTATAAAAATCTATCTTTATAAAAACGTTCCTACTTGAAAAAAATATGTTTGAAATCGAAAAAGTTTAATTATAATGAAAATATGAAATTTAATTTATTGTTAAAATTTGCTACTGCAAGAGTTCTTTAAAAATGGTTATATGCTTATAAAATAATGAGGATATAAATGATTAATGAATGAAATTAATGAAAAGTGTTAAATTTATTTATAAATGTGCATGTTTTGATGGCAAAGTAATGTACGGATTTTTTGTATTGAAATACATGATAAAGAAAAATTTCATAAATAAATTTGAAATATTGGAACAATGAAAAATGTTAACTTATTATTTGTACATTCTAAATGTTATTATAAATAAAGTTATATCAGGTTATCAAAACGTTAATTTATATTTACACATCTTTCTTCACACGCTGAGAGTAGAAATATTTCATTATGATGTTGAATTTGTTTTATCTAGTTATACTTCACTACAATTTGTTTAGTTAAAAAGAATGTTGTTCCAATTTTTGAAACTTTCATCAATATTTTTATTCATTACATTATATTTCTTTGTTTCTTGTATATGATTAATGTCTTGATTCAACGAATTATTATTTATTGTATTAACGTGGGTACTTGTTTCGTTTGTAGTTGTTGATTGTGATTAAATTATTCTTCAAGATGCTGTTTACATGTATTTTCCTACAGTTAATTTATTTTCTATTATAAGAAATATGTTTCCACATTTTAACACATTTGAGAGCTTCATGTATCGAACTATAAAATCACAATTTATTTTCATTCATTAGTACTTCCACTTTGGCAAAAAATTATTTCACTATCAGTTATTGATAAATCACCACTGAAAATTCGGCAATAAGATGAATTTCCAATAATAGTATTGTTTTCAGTGTTTGTTTTTCCAAATATTATAAAACTTTTAAATTTTTAATGTACATATAAGCACCAATTGATGGCCAAAGTTTAATATGACTCAATTTAATAATACTTATAAAATTAAAGTCTTGATTTTTTCGAAGCTGTATGCGAGAATATATAACTCATAAACATTTACACAGTAATGACTATGTGCAATATTTTATGTCAAATAATTAGAAATTGAGTAATTAAAAAATCAATGTAATCGCACACTGTGAAGAATGAAATAATGAAAAACAAAAGATAAAACAAAAATAGTTGAAAACATTGAAAAACCAACTAGAAATATAACCAAATCCAATTGATTAAGTTTATATCAATCTGAAAGAAATTACATGCATTATACGATAATTAAAAATTATCCATTATTTATTAAATACCTTTGAAAATAAATATCTAACATATGTTGACGCTCGTCAACATGTAATGGAAGATTATTCTGATTTGGAACAATTGTATCATATATTTGAGGATTAATGGTAGATGTTATATCATCCAACCTGTAAATATTATACAATACTACCGATGCTATTATCATAGAAAACGTTGACTGAATATTGTGACAACGTGATCCTATAGTTAAGACGGCAAACTTCCTGCCCCAGATACCAAAACATCTTTCGATCATGGACCTTGTCCGAATTTGAGACTCATTATATAGAGTTTCTGCTGCTGTCAATGGATTATTTAAAGGTGTCATTAGGTATGGCAGATTTAGATAACCCGAATCTCCAACTAATAAAGCATTTCCAAACTCTCCATCTTCAAAACGCGCTTCAATTTCAGAAAAATCAAAAATTGTGGCATCGTGGGTTAAACCAGGCCAATGTGCTATAATATCTAATATTTGTAAGCGAGAATTTGTGATGACTTGGACGTTAATGGGAAAAAAAAACTTTTCCGGTTGCGATAAAGTTCTGCATCGTCTCCACCTGCAAAAAGAATGTAAAAAAATTGATACGATCACCAATTGTATTCAAAAAGATGCAAAATCCATTACCATATGATTGTCCTTTTATGTAAGCACAGTCAACAGCTCCAATTACTCTCATAAATCCAGCAGTTTGGAAATTTTCTCTTTAAAATCAACAAATTTCCGCCGGCGTTGATGGAAATACTATAAAGTATCGTCGTAATCTAGCTATTGCTCTCGACACTTTATGAATGATGTTGCGTGCAGTAGTTTTACTGCTTCCACAGAAATCAGCCATTGTTACATAAAATGATCCAGTTGCCAGAAAACGGACTGCTACCAGTAATTGAATCATTGGAGGTACAGCATTATTTCTGTGTATAAACATTAGTGAATATCGTTATAATAGTGATATATTAAACTGTCATGAAGATTATTCTTCTTACTGCCATTCATTTTACTCACTTATCAGTATTTTGTACTATTTCTGGTTCAATTACGTTAAGTAATTGCTAAAGACGGCGTTTTGGTAGCCGAAATCTGGCATAAAAATCCGTTTCATCGAATAAATCAAACCAATTCCTTCTTGGTCTGGAAATTCAAGGACATCTGAGCCTTGGTGAACACAGACCATCAGTACTATCGTTATCATCACTATCATCATCATCACTATTTAAAATATGATCAATGATTATATCTTCCATTTTAATGCAATAATAGGATAGAAAACTATTGTATTCCAAAACACTTCACAAAAATTTTATGCTAGCAAAAAAAAAACATATGTTTTTAACACATTAAAAAATATCTATAGTATGTCACAATGCAATATTGCTATTTGATAAAAAAATTCTAATTGTAACATAAGATGATTTTAACAATTATTAATTGAAATATAAACAATAATCAAATGACTGAAAAACATTCTAACTTCTCAAAAATTGGAGCGCATTGTTATAAACTAGATTTGCATTTACTGAAAACAATAAGCGATATAAGCAGAGAACAGTGGAAGCAAAAAGCTATAGGAGTATTAAAAATATAAAAAAAGGGAAGGTAAGTAGGTGACAGAAACTAAGAAAAAAATCAATAATAAAAAAGCTAAGGAAACCGGCCTACACAATGCCAGCTCAGGTAGACACCATGTGGGGGGCATAGAGCTTCGATGCGCATGCTAAATAAGCACAGGTGAATCCTATGTGGGAGGATTTTATCAAAAATAATAGGTGTATTTTATTTTATTTGACTAAATGAATAAAAAAGCAATATGTGATCTAATTAAATCGAGCCTAAAAAATTTAAAATGAAACATCAAATCAGTTGCAACTGGATCTGACTAAAACATTAAAAATAAAATGGTAGATTTAATGAGATTCACCATTGGTTTTATAACCAACTCTATCTACTTAAAAATTTTAAAGTAAAAAATAACATCTAGTGAAATCTAACTTAATTTGGTTGAATTATTATTAGAACTCGTCAAATTAACCCCAATAATGAACATAAATTAAGTGAATCGATAAATGTTTAAAATTATGAAATTATAATTAAAATAAAATATGTAATAACGTACATCATCATTTCGTACTTTTGTAGATTATGCTCTAACTTTGCCATTAGATTTGTGTTGAGAAAATCCCAACTTGTGAATTAACCTAACCGTTTAAGGATAGGGATGATTGTGCCGGAACAGAGCAAACAGAAGTCAGGTTTTATAAAAAAAATAATATCTTTATTTTTTGCACCAACAATACACAAGATACACTGAATGACCTTTTATGTCTGAATACAAGAATTGAATGTCTTTAAAATTCACAGAATGTCACTTGTGATTACTGAATTTTCAATTGAATGTCCGAAAAAATGCTCAACTTGGTGTGTTCGGTATTATTGACCTCCCACACGAGCTCAGCACGCTTCTCAAGTTGAGCAAGAATATGATTGTGCACGTGGCGTTAGCCTATCAATGCAATGCAAAATGAATTTATTGTACTTTCGTGAATTTACTATAAAATGTCTTGAAATGTTAGTTAATTTCTATTGTAGAATGAAACTTGAATGATTCTGATGACTCACAATAGCACTAGCACTAATAATTAACTCAAAACTTCAAGATTTTCAAGGAAAGAATCTGAATGGCGTGAATACGTGAACGAGAACAGTGAAAGAATGGCGACAGGAACGTCATTAGTCAAAAAGGACACTGAAAATTAGTCAAATGAGTGACTAGATTAAGAATTATTGATTATTTGGTCGATTGGTTATCAACCCAGTCCCAAGATTGGATTAAATGTCAGTTGATTATGAAGAAAATTTTATTTCTGAGATTATACTATTGATCAGGCCCCTGGGGTTACATAGATGTTTTTGTCCTTAAGATATGTCGCGTAACACGGGAGCAGATTATAGTTCGTCGTGTCCCATTTCGTACTGCCCTATAGAGTAGTCTGAATATGGGTACTCCGAACACGCCGAGCGCGAGACGCGTTAGCAACCGCTGACCAAAGCGGATAAAGTTGGTGCTACGGGAGGCCAAATTCCAAGCTCTATGCCTGAGGCTGCAAAGTCGAAATATGACATGTAAGACTAGGTACAACTGGCCAATTGAGGTCGGACTCGTAGTGGTATGTCGTAAGGCCTCGGGCTTGTGACGTGTATCCCTGTGCCTGTTCTAGGTGCAGGTATACGCGTCCCGGGAAATGCCATCGCGAAGAGAGTAGAGTTATGCCCAAAGAGGCGAGGTACTCAATTTCCGTCCTTCGAACGGGGGAAGCATGGCATTATACTATTAATCCAGATTATAAAGATGAAGACGTGGATTATGATGGAGAGGTACTTTTAGATTCAGAAAACTCCGAGTCAATATATATAGAAGACGATGAAGAAAATCCACTGTTATACGTAAATGCACCAATTACTCAAGGTTGAAATGTTCTGACAAGATCGGGTTGCAAGAACAAAAAGGGAGGTATAGAAAAGAGGAAAGAGAAATTATCTTTGATGTAGAAATTCTTGACGTTGCATGTTCTATAAATAACAAATATAATAAAGGAATTTTAGCGACAATGAATCAATTTATTAAGCAGCAAAATAGAGTTAGAGCTCGTGTAGCAAGAAACAAAGCAAGGTCTTTCCGTCTCCAAGCATGTTTGGATCTGCACCTTAAGGTGTTAGCATACCTCTTAGAGATCAAAGATCACGCGTAGCTGTAAGAATAGCGCATTCAGTTTATCTTTCCCAGGAACTGCTGTAAGGTATGCAAACTTATGCTATCGGGTAAAGGGGTGTCGATAACAACAGGGCAGTTGCGATTAAAATTTCGCACTTAAAGTTTCCTAGATGATGGTGTAACACTCAACAGTTGAAAATGAAAGTTAACCTCCTTAATGTTATTCGGTTACTTTTAACAACATTTCAAACTATGAAAATTATAGAGTCACCTGTAAATGATGCTGAAATACAATTGAAGAATCACTTTGAACTGCTTGAAGGATGTATTTTTTCCGAATATTGAAAAAAAAATTTTAATTTCGATTGATTCGTGAACTGGACATTGTTCTGAAGCTGTCACGTCTGCCAAACCACCGGATAAAGAAATTGAGATAATGATTATTCCTTAAGGGGCTACTGGACAAATTCAACCATTAGATGTTTTTGGGTTTAGAATATGGCAAAACTATGTAAGACATTGTCCTATTACGAGGAGATGATTCGAATTTACACTTGAGAAATGATATTATTAAATTAAAATCAATGACTCATAATCAACTCTCTTCTCTGCGATACATTAATCTTTTTCGTTATTCATGGTTTAAAAGTAGTAATAAATATATTAAAACAGATGAATTTAAAAACTCAGCCGATTTTGCATTTGGAGATAACTGTAAGTCTCATTGTGAAATTCCAGGATGTAAAAATATTGCAATTATCCGTTGTGCATGGTGTAAAAAATCATTGTGTCTAGAAAATTTGAACAATGATTATTATATATGTAATACGTACAATAAATAAATAATTCATCTTCTTCATTTTAAAGCAAATCTGGGAAAAAAGGGAACTTTTTTTTTGGTATCGATTTTCATGTTGTTTTAAAAATTGCAAAAACACGTTTCTTGTAAATTTTTATACTCTCTCGATTGAAATTAGTCCCATCAAAATATTTCCTCGTTAGTTAGTACAGCCATGTGTTTTACAACTCCAAGAAGTACTTTTAATTCGACAACATAATTATTATATGTTTATAAATTAGTGACGATCATGCTCTTTAAAATACTTTTCTCTAATGCACATTTTACGTGGTTTGAAAGAAACATTTCAAAAACCATGATCTTCACCAATTTCTTCCTATGGGAGATACATATCTTGTTCCAGTTCCTAAGAAAGAATTTTACAAAAAGCTACCTTCATCGTGGTTCTAAAAACGACAATTTATGTGTTCATATAACTCCAAATAAATATTTTATAAAACTATGATTTATTTGTTACCAGGATTTTCTGTCTTTCTCAATTCTGTTTCTAGCTTCCCCCCAAGGAAATTATAAATCGGACAGTTCGCTCTCACATCGTAGCACCTCTCTTAATGAATCAAGAGAGCTTGAATGTCTCATCTCAAACTTCGTTAATTCTTCACGCATCAAAAACTCGTGACAGATTCATTTCCAATTCTAACAATTCGATACTTGTTCGGTCGATTCAAGTTTCAGATTATTGTCTAGTAATTACATATAAACATAATCTATTAAACAAGTGTCAAATACCAGCAAGTCATAGATAAATTTACACAATACCAACATAACGGAAGAACACAGTGTTACTATAGCAAAATATAAAGATACACGAGTGACACTAGTGACATATCTGAACATAAAAGTTGCATTTCAATTCAAGCACTTACAAAACGTTTTATTATTGCACCGTATAACTAAACTACACAGCGATGACTGAAGAAATGTCAATAACCACACTCTACAATATTATGAAACTAGAAATGGATAAACAAGCTACGCTGATAAAGGATAATACACAGAAAATTATGGTGACCATAGATGAAAAAATCAAACCATTAATTCAAGAAAATAAAACCCTAAAATTAGAAATCGAAGTACTCAATAAGAAAATAAACTCCCTAGACAATTCAAACAGAAGAAACAATATTTTAGTTCATGAAATTAACGAGACAGAAAAAAATTACACTCAATTATTTAACAATGCCATAACATTATTCGAAAACTTGGGAATAAAAATTGATAATTATGATATAAACAAATTACACAGAATTGGGAAACAAACAAATGGAAAAACAAGGCCTGTACTAATTACCTTCATAACATTCAACAAAAAAATCGTGATCTTAAAAAACAGAAACAAAATATCACAACCATCATACATTACTGAAGACTTTTCTAAAGAAACTTTACAGAAACGCAAAATATTACAACAAGAACTACACCGAGAAAAAGAAAAGGGAAATGATGTGTACATTAAAAACAACAAAGTTGTAATAAGGCAAAAAGGGAATGACAAAAGAAAAAGAGAAACATCACTGTCACCCACACAACAGCAGCAGCAAGTGTTAGGTGATAACAACAAAAGTACAGAAGCCCCTGTAAAACTACACAGAACTGACCCATTCGTATATATGAGGAATTGTTCTGACTTCGAGTCGGCCGGACGAGCAAACTAAAAACTAGTGGACTGTAATGAATAAGAGCAGAATAAAAAAAAGGTTGGATGCT